TACGGGTACGGGGCGGGTAAGTACATACCCGTACCCGTACCCGTACCCGATTTAATATATCGAGTTTTACCCGTACCCGTATCTGGTCAAACCGGGTATTCCCCGTCAAAGTCGGGACGAGTTCGGGTATTACCCGCGTGTACGGGTATATTTGTCATCCCTAATTGTGGTACCACCCTGGACCTTGTTATGATCACTCTTGTAATATTCTTCATATTATAATTTCTACAAGCACACACACTGATTGTTGACTTGCTCATGCTCCTATGGTCCTATATTCCTGTCGTATTTCTCTTTTCTAAAAATTTCAAACTTGGCTAGCTTTTCGAAAATCGAAAGTTTCATCGTTCATTCAATGAACATCGTTTTGTCAAAGGAAAGAAGAAAATACTGTAATTCTTTCATGACCTTGCATTATGATGAAAGCTGAGGATTAGTCAATGGACCAATTTTTCGTCTCATTGAAATTTTTGGATTTTAATTACTTCTAGCTTTTCCTTAAAAAAATATATATAACTGATTTTTTTTTCTTTCAAAGATCACATTATACGTTTGAAATCTGTGACTTGTTTTTCTTTTTGTTTTCCCTCACAACGTGAAAGTGTAATCACAAGAATTTTGTGAACAATGTCAATATGTTATTATTTGGGTCTAGTTATATAGCATGCTCGTTCACTGCGTAATAATCTTGAATAACCTATTCCTAAAATTAAAATAAGAATGTCGTTAATAACTAATCAGATATGTGTAATGACACTTACATTTAAGTTGTTGTTATTAACGAAATTGCTACATATAATAATATACATATCAACAGATGATTAAGGATTATTTTACCTAGTGAGCATGCTATGTAATTGGATGTTCCACATGATATAATTATTATGTTGCGTAAGACTAGAAAATTTCATTATTTTATAAAGAATGCCCAATAGATAAAAATGTTCTAAAAAATTGAAAGAAAAAAAAAACTAGAGACCTAGTAGAATTTATGTAATGCATAATAAAGTTGTATATATATTTTTTTGTTGATGTGAGTGTGAATATAATTTTTTTTTCTTGTTTTCTTTTAACAAATCATTTGTTCATATGTTCAAATGTAAATGTTGGGTCATAGATCATTGTACAAATTAGAAGGACTACTGTTAGAAGTATAAAGAAAATCTCACATTATTATAATAAAAGGAGATCCTTTGGGGAAAAGATTAAAACTAAAATTATAAGAGTTTAAATATAAAGTGAATAATATTATGTTGAGATGCGCGTGAGAACTCCCGGTGTGTAAAGAGAGATATCAGAACTAATGGTTCAACTAGGTGACTAGATCAAATGAGAATTAGGAGTGTAATTAGCGATGAATTCAAGCATATGATACTTTATATTAGAAGTCTTCCTGACAATTAGTCCATATATGAAAATAAAAAATATATTTCAAAGTGGATAATATCACATGCTAGTGGAAACATGTGTGTGAATCTCCAATGCATAACAAGTGATATTAAAGTCAATGATTTGACTAAGTGACCGACTCAAATGAGTGGTAGGAGTGGAATTAATTGTGGATCTAAACATAGGATCCCTTATATCAAAGTATTTCTAACAATTGGTTCATGTATGGAGATTGAGAGTTTTTTAAGTAACACAGAGTTCAAATGGTGTGTCTCGTTATAACTTAATGATGCAAGTATTTAGAGTATGACTAAGTTCTAAGGGTTACCATTAGATACTTGTGGATAAAAAAATGGTTTTCAATAAAGGGGGTTAAATTATAGTCCTATGTTTGAAGGAATGATTGTTAGAGGTACAAGCAAAATCTCATATTGTTAAAACAAAAGGAGAAATATGGATTTATAAACACAAATGTCTTCATTGATATATTGTCTTTTAGTAATGATCAAAAACAAATCCACAAGAATTTTAGTCCAAAGTGAATATTATCATACTGATGTAAATATACGTGTATGAACTTCGATGTACAACAACTATGATATTCAATTTGATATTATTTAATTTGATCCTAAGGACTTGAATCTTTAGTAAGCCCTGGTCTAGTCCCATCTAGTTTGGTGTGATTGGGTCTAGTATGGTTTGATTTAGTCCAATTTGGCTTGATCTAGTTTGTTTCACTCTAATCCAACCTAGTTTGGTTTAGGTTGGTCTTGTTTAGTTCCAGTTTAGTCTTATTTGATCTAGTATGGTTTGTTCTAGTTTAGTTTGGTACGCCTCAATCTGGTCTGGTTAGGTTCGACCTGATTCAATTTGACCCAATTTAGTTTGATTTTGTCATATTAAGTCTATTATGGTTAGTAGATTTGTTTTGGTTTAACATAGTTCAATTCGGTCTAATCTAATCTAGTCCAGTCTGATCATGTAAAAAAAATACATGTAGATAGACATGTATCAATATAAAAGAAAATTATTAAAATAAAAGTAAAATAACAAAAAGAGAATAGAACAAAAATATATTTAATATATAATAACTTGCATTAAGAAAAAAAAAGTAAAATTAATATATATTTCTTATATATAATAACTTAATAGGAGAAATTGTTACTATAATATGTTTTAATTGTAAGTCTGTTGACATTATTGGAGTCACCACTTATGAAAGTATTGTCAGGTCATCACGATTTTATCTTTGAAAAGGTATCTAAATGGGTTAAAGAAAAATAGTATTTATAAAATGCCCTCAGTCTCAATTATTAAGAATGTGAGACATTTATACATAACAGAACAAATCCTCCAAATCAAGACTAAGAGATAAAAGTAATCTAAACCCTTCTTCTAAGGCTAATATTTCAATCATAAGTCAATTGACATTGTCAATATTATTACAATTGAAATATTATCAATTTTGACATTTATTAGATTGACATAAATCACAATATACTTAATTTCTTATAATTTTTTTTTAAAAATCTAGACCGACAAATGACAAAACAAACACATAACATTGCATTATATTTAGGAAAAATTTTGATTATACACGCAGAAACAGAAAATAGAATACTTCCCTATAAAAGTCTTTAAAAAAAATATGTACAGGAGTTTCTATTGGCTGTTATTTGATTAGCCTTAAAGAACTAAAAATGTTTATGCATAAAAAAATGTTGTTACAATATATTAAATTAGCATAATAAAAATACCATAGTCTAATATAAAATATTAATTTTAGCACAATTAAAAATACATACACATAAATACATTAACATTTTTATTTTTTCGGACCAAATTAAATAGATACTATATAAGTTAATTAGGATAAATCACTTTAACATGCAAAACTCACATTTTTAACATGTTAGAGATGTCTAACCCATGAAATAAATGATCTTTTTATCTAAGTTTATATCCACTTCATGGAACCTACGTTTAAACGGATAATTCAACGAATCCAATAAAAAATTAAAATAATATTTTTTTAATTTTTTATGTCAAGAAAATATTATAAAGAAATACATAAAAAAATATTATATAAAAACATAAACATCAAACAATATAAAATAAAAAAATATGAAAGTTTTAATATATAAAAATTTATACATTTAAACTAAAGCATTAGAATATTTACATATCAAGTTTGTATATTTAATTTAAAACATATTTATGCATAAAAAAGAATCTAAAACATTAATATTGCAAAAGTCTAATATATTTTTGAAATAAGAAATACACTAAATTCAATACTCGTTACTTATTTTTACTTATTAACAGAAAATTAAAATCACTCATATTTTAAAATCTCTCATAAAATAATAAAAAAAATTCTCTTAAACGGAATGGTCCATAAAATTTACAGATTAAGTTTGAGAAATTTTTAGACTTTATAGAGAACTTTATTTCCCTTATAATTATCTAAATTTTTTAAAAAATATGTTGGTTAATCGTGCAGGTCGCGAATTCCGCACACAGTAACCTAAATTCTCTTCGTATTAAATTGACCATTGTGACCATATAAGCATCATAGTATCTTATGAATTAGAAAAAAGTTCAATTGAAGAATATGATAAAGTTATGTTTTGATATTTATTAACTTACAAATAATATTTTTTTTATTATTTGTGTGGACTAGTTGATTAATGGAGAGATAAAAATACGAGAATTTATGTTACGATGGCATCGTATATCGCCGTATCTGTATACGGACGACACACAAAGACAAAATACATGTTTCAAGTCCACATCATCTCACCGAAAGACAAAAACACAAATCAATTAAAAAAAATAACCAGAAAACTTGAAAAAATATGCAAAAACGCAACACCATGATTGGCCCTTGAGTACAACGCGGCACGTTACCATTGGAGAGAACATGCTGCCGAAGGTTTAGTGGGACACGTGGAGCCCATTCACTGGTTGAAAATCCAGGCTAGTCTCCACCCTCGCGCACCTAATCATATCCGTTGGAGTCAAGGAAGAGCGAGAAGGGAAAATAAAAGAAAAGGAAGGGACAGATTTGACATTTCACGACCGCGCTCTTTTCTACGGAGCCTCGACCAAGAAGAATCACAGACTGAGAGAAAAAAGAGAGAGAAATTCGCAAACCCTAGTTTCGGAAAGATCGGCGATGGCTTCCTCCAAGGATCGCGAGAATTTCGTCTACATCGCCAAGCTCGCCGAACAGGCTGAGCGATACGAAGGTCCGAATCACGCGCATGTTTTTTTTTGTGATACCTTTTTCTGCGATTGTGTCTTTCTACTAATTTGAGTAAATTTGTGTCCTCTTTTTTCGTTTTTGTATCGTTTTCAGTGAGGAACATATTTTTTATTAGTCAATTTGGTTTACTCTTTACTGTCAGTTCGGTTGCGAGAGGAGTAGAGAAAAAGGAATCGGTTAGGGTTTCGAAAGGAATTTTGTTTTCCATTTTATCAAGTTTTATTTTAACTTCCGTTTTCTGATTTTGGAAGCTGCGTTCGGATTGCGTGTGTGCTGCTTCAATTTTTTGCTACTGCATGTTCAATTTGTAGCATCGTACTTGAAAGTGTTGTTAATTTTTATCGTATTTAGTGTGATCTTGTCGGATGCGAGGCTTGATTTGTGATGTTTTGCTCTTGCGTCTGTTTTGACAGAGATGGTGGATTCAATGAAGAATGTTGCGAATCTCGACGTTGAACTGACCGTGGAGGAGCGGAATTTGCTTTCTGTGGGGTACAAGAATGTGATTGGTGCTCGCAG